AGTGGGTAAGAATCCGTGCTACTCACCTAAGGCATACAGTCAGAATCTACCACCGATTCTTCAGGAGAAAGATGGGCAGTCTCCTCGCATCCAATTTATAGCCTCTGAAAATTCTCTGGAGGGTCAGCAATGAGTCGGTTCTGATTCAACAGCACACAACCACCACCACCACCATCTTTCCCAGCTTGATGTCTTTTCCCCAGGACTGACTTTTCCTGACAACTAATGAAATTTGTAGTTCCTTTTGACCTGTACTAAAAATTATTAGCCAGGAAATTTTTAGACCTGGAAGCAGTCCTCAGAACCGAGCAAAGAAACATTGCATGGTCAAAAGTGGGAAAGGAGTGCATCAGGGATGTGTCTCATCTTCATATGTTTTCAGTCTGTACATGGAACAGATCATTCAGGAGGCTGGGCTTTATGAGGAGGAATGTAGCATCAATATTGGAAGAAGACTCATCAAATCAACAACCTTCAATGTACAAATAACACAACCCTGCTTGCCAAAATTGGACCTGATGCGTTTGCTGCAAAAGACCAAGGACGATAATCTTTTTTTTTAAATGTTAAATTTATTGACTTTAATAACTCTACTGGGATTATGAAAGTGAGTAAAGAGAGTATGTGTGTTTGTAGAAGATACACATTATAGGGCAAAGGTGCAAGATTTAGCATAATGCATAAAGGATTTCAGAACTCACCTTCAGTGAGTTTGAAATTGTTTTCACACTAAAAACCATTCAAAATAGTTGGAAAGTACTGTAGTCTTTAATGTGGATTGAAGCTCAACATCAAGAAAATTAAGATTCTTATCACTGGGCCAAGTGCAGTACCATGACAGATGGAGATGAGACTGAGGCTGTTAACAATTTCGGCTTGGTTCACAATCAACATTCTTGGTATCAGAAGTCAGGAAATCAAAAGACAAATTGCACTGGAAAGTCTGCTGTCAGGGAGCTTTCCAAAGTGCTAAAGAATAATAAGAGTAGTGATGTCATTATAGGGACTAAGGTGCATATGATCAAGGCCATGGTCTTTGCAAATACTTATTATGTATCAGAGAGCTGGACTATGACTAAGGATGATACAGAAGAATTAATGCCTTTGCGTTGTGGTGTTGGAGAAAAGTACTGAACATAGCATTGACTCTCAAGAAAACAAACAGGTCTCTCTTAGAGAGGGTGAAATCAAGTTTCTCCTTGGAGGCCAGGATTTTGAAGCTCTGTCTCATATACTTTGGGCATGTAGCCAGGAGGGACCAGTCCTTGGAGAAGAACATCATGCTTGGAAGGGTGGAGGGCAGCTCAGGAGAGGAAGATCCCAGATGAGATGGATTGACACAGTAACAGGGGTAATGAAGGTGGTTGTGCCAGAGTCAGTGAGACTGACTCAGGATAGGGAAGATTTCAGAGCTATTGTATATAGGGTTGCTATGAGTTTCAGGCAACTCAATGGCACATAACAATAACAACAACAATAAAACATTTGTAAATGTCTCTTTAGATTACTGATGCATTTGTTGTCCATAGGTTTTGTCCATTGAATATTGGATGTAGTCTTCATGAACTAGTATTCACTCCCTACATCTTTTGAAAATGAAACTTCAATAGGAAACATGTGTCCTTCTCACCCCTCTTCAGCACTTTTTTTGGCGTTTTTAGTAATGTAACTTTTCTAGTTTTCACAGTACCAAACCCAAATTTAGTCCATTGCCATTGGGCTGAGTTAGACTCACAGTAACCCTACTCATAAAACACAGAGGAGCATTAATCAAGGATGCTTTTAGGCAGAATATTAAATGATCCAGAAAGTATTAAAAGAAGATGGAACGAATATACTGAGTCACTGTATCAAAAGGAATTGGCAGACACAGAAGAATTTAATGAGATAACATATAAGCAAGAGCCTATGGTGATGAAGAAGTACAAGCTGCTTTGAAAGAAATAGCAAAAAATAAGGCCCCAGGAATTGACGGTATACCAATTGACGTATTTCAGCTAACGGATGCTGCCCTGGATGCTTGCTACGCTGTGCCAAGAAATCTGGAGAACAACAACCACTTGGCCAACTGACTGGAAGAGATCTATATTTGTTCCCATCCCAAAGAAGGGTGACCCAACTGAGTGCAGAAACTACAGAACAATATCATTGATTTCATATGCAAGCAAGATTCTACTGAAGATTATCCAAAAACTACTGGAACAGCACATCAGCAGAGAACTGCCAGAAGTCCAGGCTGGGTTTAGAAGGGGTCGTGGTACTAGGGATATTGTTAGATATTATTAGATAATATTAGATATTGTACTAGGGATGTTAAATGGATCTTAGTTGAAAGCAGGGAATACCAGAAGAATGTCTATCTGTGTTTCATTGATTATGTAAAGGCGTTTGACTGTGTGGATCATAACAGTGGCTGACTCTGAGAGGAATGAGAATCCCAGGACACTTGACCATGCTAATGCAAAATCTATACTTGGACCAAGAGCCAGTTGTCAGAACAGAGCAAGGAAACACTGCATGGTTCAAAATTGGGAGGGGTGTACGCCATGGATATATCCTATCTCCATACCTTTTCAACCTGTATGCAGAACACATCATCCGGGAGGCTGGGCTCTATGAGGATAAGTGTGGCATCAGGATTGGTGGAAGATCTATCAACAATCTGCATTATGCAGATGACACAACCCTGCTTGCTGAAACTGAGGAGGACCTGAAGTGCTTGCTGCAGAGGGTCAAGGACTATAGCCTTCAGTATGGATTGAGGCTCAATGTCAAGAAGACAAAAATTCTCACAAAAAAAAAAAAATTCTCACCAGCATCAGGTTGGATGGTGAAGAGATTGAGATTGTTAACAACTTTAGTCTGCTTGGCTCCACGGTCAACTCTCTTGGCACCAGTAGCCAGGAAATTAAAAGACACATTGCGTTGGGAAAGTCTGCTGTTAGGAACCTCTCCAAAGTACTGAAGAGCAATAGTGTCACTCTGGAGACTAAGGTGCATCTGATATAGGCCATGGTCTTTGCAATCACTTGTTATGCATCAGAGAGTTGGACAATGACTAGGGAGGATAGAAGGAGAATTGATGCCTTTGAGCTGTGGTGCTGGAAAAGAGTATTGAATGTACCCTGGACTTCCAAGAAAACAAACAGGTTTGTCCTGGAGAGGGTTAAACCAGGCTGCTCCTTGGAGGCAAGGATTCTGGGGCTTTGTCTGACATACTTTGGACATGTTGTAAGGAGGGACAGGTCCCTGGAGAGGGACATCATGCTGGGTCGAGTAGAGGGACAGTGCAGGAGGCGAAGGCCCTCTATGAGGTGGATTGATTCAGTGACTGGGGTAATCGGGATGGGTGTGTCAGAGGCAGTGGGATTGGCACAGGATAGAGCAAGGTTTAGGACTGTTGTACATAGGGTTGCTATGAGTGGCAAGCGACTCGACGGCACATCACACAACAACAGTATTGCTCCACAGAATTTTCTTTCTTTTTTTCTTACTAATATAATCCAGGCTACTATTTTAATATATTTTAGAAATTCTATAACAGTAAAACAATGCAACAAATGCAAAATAACCATAGTGGAGTGCTTACTAGTCATAGGAGTAGCACAAATAAATGCTGAAAAGGTATCTACTATAACATACACATAAGTCCATTTCCTTTTTTTTTTTTAATTATTTATCTCCTCTTAGTTTTCCCCCAATTCCCATGTCAGTCCTGTTTTATAACAGTGGCATTATGCAGTGTTTGTCCTTTTGTGACTGAGATATTTCACTCAGCAAAATGTCCTCCAGGGTCACCCATTTTGTGTAATATTTCATGAGTTCTTGTTTTTCAATGCAGTATTCCATTGTGTGAATATACCACAGCTTCTCTATCATTCGTTGATGGGCACTTAGGTGTTTCCATCTCCTTGCTATTGTGAACACAGCAATAAACATGATTGTGCATCCACAAAATTTTCAAGGCTATAACACTTTTCTGAAGCAAAGTGCTAAATCTTTCTCCCACATAATGTCTAGTGCGTTTGAGCCACTGGCCTTTCAGTTAGCAGCCAAGTGCTTTTAAGTACAGTACCACCTAGACTCCTTATTTTTACAGTCCTCAAGATATCCATTACTTGCTATGGAGCTGAAAACTGGACATTGGACAAAGATGACAGAAGAATGATCCATGCCATTAAGTTGTGGTTTGGATAAGAGCGCTGAATATTCCATTGAATACCAAAAGGATCGATCTATCTATGTATCTATGAAAATATCTCTCTGTCTCTCTCTCTCTCTCTCCCTCTCTTGGAAAAGATGTAGGCAGGTGCTCCTTGGAGACAAGGATAGTGAAACTTCATCTCACATACCTTGGGAATGTAGTTAGGCGGGTCTAGTCTATATAAAAGGACATCATGCTTTGAGAGGTGGTCAGGGAAGGAAGGGAAGAGCCTCAAAGAGATGGACTGACACAATGCCTCTAATGGTGGGCTCGAGTATGTCTGAGATGGTCAGGAAGGCTCAGGATAGCGCAGGGTTCAGATCAATTTTTTATAGGGTCACTATGAATTCCAGTTAACTCAGTGGCAAGTTATATATTCACAACTGTCCACATCCATTCATTTTCCTCAAGAGTTTTTTTTTGCTTTAAATGTTTAATCTCTGTCTCATTAGTATTACATTGCATTCTATGGTGGTGCAGTTTTCTACAGAACAGTTGCCATTTTCCCAGCAGTATTTATTAAGTAACGGTTGGTCTCCTACTTTATTTCATTCCCTTTGTGATTAAACGTTTTATGTGTGTTCAAATTTGCTTCTGGCATCCCCATTCTGTTTTATTGGCTAGCATTTCTGTAATTAACTTTGTACAATTTGGTATAAGTGTTTCAATATGTTTTAAATTTTGGTAGATGAAGTTGTTTATTACAGCGCTTTTTCTTTTTTTTAAAGAAGGGAACTGATGAAGAAGAAATAGCAAACATATCTTAGTATCTTACAAAGATAAAGTTAAAAAATACCTTTTCTATCAGTTCTTTTGCAACATCATTTGTTTGGATTTCCTCAGTTATGGGAAATTCTTCTATTACAAGCATTGCTCTTCTTTGTCCACCAAGTGTTGATGAATGTTTTGAGCTGTAACAGAGAGAATATGTTCACGGTTGCAGGACAAGTGCTTATTTTCAGTTAATATATGAATATGAGCAACTTACAAATAAGGTCAAGTGAATATTTTAAAATTTGTTTTAAAAAAAGAAGTGTAAAGCCTGAAGTAGCTCTTGTGTATAAATACCAGAATCATAGAATAACTTCCACAAATAAATGTCTATTAATTTAATTTTCTAACAAACATTTAAATATAGCAGAAGAGTATCATGCCTACTGTTTTAGTAAAAAGTTATGAGAAATTATTTTAGATCAGTTTTTTTTTTTAAAAGAAAAACTTTGCTGCCCAAATGCACAAGTAAAACTCCTACTAAAATACAGAAAAAAATACCTCTTTTTCTTAATTTCTGATATTACTTTCCTTTTTGAATCCTAGCATTGTCCAATTTCTGCTAAGCTTGTATGAAATAATTTTAAAAGCAGAAAAGATTATTTATAAGTGGTTTTTAGGATTTGTAAGTAGGACGCAAGTACCACTATTATGATATCTAAAAAAAGTCAAAAAATTCCAGACTCATCCTATAGATTTCTGAGGCTATCGATCACAGAGGAGAGGCATTATCCTGTTTCTCCTTGGGAGGAGCTGGTTTGAACCTCCAGAGAAGTATTCTCTTTTGTTTGTTCTTTTGTCAATCTATGGGATTATTCAGAATTCTTCTTCAATACCACAACTCAAAGGCAGCAAATCTTCTTTCATCCTCAGTCACTGCACAACTTTCAAATGCATAGCAAGTAACTGAAGAGACCATGGCTTGACTCAAGTGCATTGTAGTAAACCTAATTATCGCTCTTTCGAACTTTGGATAGCATATATTGGATAGCATCTTTTGACTGCATATTTTTCCAATGCAAAATGTCTTCTGATAACTTCACTGCTGGTACCAAGAGAGTGGATTGTGGATCCAAGCAAGATAAGATAGTTGAGATCCTCAATCTTTTTTCCATTGTATTGTAGTGCTCACTGGCTCAAGGGTGAGGTTTTTGTTTTCTTGACGGTGAGCAAACCACAGATTATCAGTAACAGATAGTATATCATAAAAACATATCTAGAATTTTTTAAACTTATCTTTTTTTCTTAGTTTCTTATATTCTCTCTTATTTAATCTTTCTCTATCTAGCTCTCTTATAAAAGAGAAGATGAGACTTTTACTTATGTCTTTGAGATGGTTTTGCTGAGGCTGAAAAGTTGTACTTTTAAAAAAGTTAATGTGTTGAATATCTAAGACATTGATCTGGCTATTTTTATTTTTCATTAAAAGAATAAAATCATTTTACCATGAAAACCATCCAACTTAAAAACTAGCAGTTTGGCAAAATATTTGTGTATTGTTTGGGAAAAGTAGCTATTCAAAAGGTTTTAACTTTTAAAAATAAAACAAAGAGACGACTTTTAAATCTTATTTTAAGGAAAAAAGCTGACAACTCGAACCAATTTGTGAAAACTTGGCATAAAAATCGTTCCACTGCAAAAACCTTAGAATGTACTGGTGGTTTATTTTGCCACTAATAGTAAAACAGTAGAATTTACTTCTGTAAAGTCAATTCTGACTCATCATGACCTTAGCTGACACAGCAGAGTGGCTGAAGAGTTTCAAACACTGACCATTTTGTTAGCAGTCAAGCACTTTAAATACTGTGCCACCAGGGCTCCTTAAATTGGAAAAAAAAAATCTGTTGTTAGGTGCCATGGAGCCAAATACGACTCATAGAGACCCTATGAACAACAGATCTGAACCCTGCCTGTGCCATTTTCACAAGCTCTGACACAGTCAAGCCCACTGCTGTAGTCACTGTGTCAATCCACCTTGGTTGAGGGTCTTCCTCTCCTTCACCATCCTGCCACCTTTCCAAGTATGATGTCCATCTTCAAGGAATAACCTCTCCTAGCAATATTCTCACAGTATGTGAGACAAAGCTTTAACATCTTTGCCTCCAAGATGTACTCTGTTTGCATCTTCTCCAAGACATATCTGTTCTTCTGGAAGTCCACTGGATATTCAGTACTCTTCTCAATTCAGTACTCACCACCATTCAAAGAGATCAATTCTTCTGCCATTCTTATTCATTTCCAGCTCCTGAAAAGACTGTGGCCCGAATTGGGTGCACTTGAGTCTTCAAACTGACGTCACTGTTCCTCATTAATTTGGAGAGGTTTCTGACTACAGACTTTCCCAGTACACTATGTCTACTGATCTCCTTCCTGCTGGTATCAAATGTATTGATTGTAAGATGAAGTTATTAGCAGTTTCAATCTTTTCTCCATCTATCATGAAGTTGCCTATTGGTCCAATGGTAAGGGTTTTTGTTTTCTTGACATTGAGATGCATTCCATATTGCAGGCTGTAGGTTAAACCTTCTGCAGCAAGTGCTTCATGTCCTCCTCACTTTCAGCAAGAAAGATTGTGTTATCCACATAATGAAGGTTATTGACATACAGCTCTGGTGGCTCAGTGGTAAGCAGTTGCGCTGTCAGCCCAAAGGTACATGGTTCAAATACACCAGTTGCTCCCCGGGAGAAAGATGGATAATCAACTCCTGTGCTATTTACTGCCTCTGAAAACCTGCTAGAGACTCAGCTATGAGTCGGTTCCAGTTAGATGGTACAAGAAAAGAAAAACAATAACAACAAATGTATAGGACAGTTCCAAAAGTTCAGTGAAAATGGATGTCATAGGTACTTTCAAGGAGGCCTGTTGGTGCAATGGCTAAGTCCTCAGGTGCCAGCAGAAAGGCTGGCCCCTCAGCTCACTCAACCATTCCACAGGGTGATTTTGCCATCTGCTCCCGTAAGGGTAACAGCTAAGAGGACATTACAGTGGCAGTTCTGTTTAGTCATGCAGATCATAACGAGTGGAAAAAACTCTACTCTGTAGAGCCCAACAATAACAGTACTTGGAGCTAACTGCTCCTGCCTCTGCTGGAGCTTCCAGGGGAGCTGACAAGTACCCTCTGAGTAGACTCGGCTTTTCCTTCATGGTCACTTAGGGTTTTCTCTTAGGGTTTGTTTATCTGCAAGGAGCTTAAGTGTATCAACAGTTTTGTTTTGTTTTTTTAACAGTTTTAAGGAAGGAGTTTTTAAATTTCCTTCCCTTAATCTAACTTCAACTGCTGGACAATATGTCTTAAACCATCACTTCTTCTTTTTTTAAATTTTTTTATCATTTTTTGTGTGTACCATCAAATCAGATCTGACTGGTACAGGAGGAAATTGCCTCTCCTTCTACAGCAGAGAATCTGGTGGATTCGAACTGCGTACCCCTGGGATTGCGGTGCAGCTTCTTGCCACTAGGCCACCAGAGCTCCCTAAACCATCACTTCTAATTACTTTTTCTTTAAAGTCCCCTCTCCTTATCACTTTGGTAAAGTTCCTTAGAACTGTAGGCAACTGCCGTTCTCAGTATCCTCTTACCATGATAGCTGAGTATCATACCTACCTCAACTTCAGGCGCCATAGCACCACCCTATACAGGTAACTTGCAGGTAGGTGTTTTCGTGGCCCCACATGCTGTATAACAGGATGAATAGCCCCAACAATATATCCTTTAAGGTAATAGTCTTGAACTTTTGTTACTATATCCAGAATTGAGTTTATCTTGATGACTTCTGGGTTTTGTGAAGCTGAAACATCAAAAGTAAAGACAAATTTGTTTACAAGATTGGATTAAACATTATTTCGATCTCTGTATAAGAATACTCCTGAATAGGGAGAAAAGTATACATGAGAGTTTACGTCAAATAAAATTACAATAATATGCATTATATATTTTGTATTTTATTTCAGAAAAAAGCAAAACTGACTGTCAAATTCGTAGATATATAATATTAACATGTCTTCAAGTAGAAATATAGTGTTTCTTAAGCTTTTTAAAATTTTTTTAAATTTTATTTTATTTTATTATTTTGTTTGTGTGTGTGTGCACCGTCAATTTGGATCTGACTGGTACAGGAGGAGATGGCCCCTCCTTCTCCAGCAGAGCATCTGGTGGATTTGAACTACATATCTCTGGGATTACAGTGCACTTTCTTGCCACTAGGCCACCAGCGCTCCCCTGTTTCTTAAGCTTTTTATCAGTTGAGGCAACTTTATTTCTTAGTACTTCATTTATGTGATCATAGTACAAGTAATAGGTATTTAAACATACATAGAAAAAGCCATTTTAATTTGAAGATTTTGTATTTTTTTAATTCTGACAATACATGATTCCTTAATAATCAAGTTATTAGCAATTTAAAACTTAAAATATGAGAAAAGTCAGAGCGCTGATGTCTTAGTGATGAGAAGCTGTGCTGTATTCCTAAAAATATGAGAAAAGTCACTTGTTAAGCAGAAATTGCCAAGTGTTTGGTTATGTCAAATAAGGCTCCAGAAACATAATGTTTTAAGTTCCTTAAAGAAGGTAAAAATATGTTTTCTTAGTGGATCTTATATTAATACTTGAGGAAAAGAGCAGGAAAAATATCAAGGTACACCAAAATTATTTTTAATGAGTAAAAATTCCAGATGTAGAGGAAATTACAATACAAAATCAATGTGCAAGCTAATCATTCCCTGAAGAATAGTTCAACCTGAGCAATTTTTAAAATAGTAAAAGGGAAAGGGTGTGTTGTTTGGGAAAATGTCCCTGCAACATTAATTTAAAAAAACAACCTTTTATTTAAAAACAACCTTCCCCCACCCCCTCCTCTGTAACAGTGTTTTTCATTTTCTGGAAAACAACCTAGAATTAGTATCTAGAAATTGACTGGCAATTTAATCATCTCTTGAGTAATAAAACATATGAACTTACTTCCACGTATGGGTAGGGTTGGTTAAGAGTTTGTTCACAGTAACAACAGTGGTCACTGGTGTCCAGCAAATAGCTGTTGCTAATTTCCCTAACACAGGAAGGAGGTTAAGAAGCAGACAGGGAAAGAGGGTCAGAGGAAATTCCCTCCTCCCTATCATTCATTCCCACACGCTGCAACAGGAATCCACCAACAGTAGATACTCACAGAAAAGTTGTAAATACCAGGATGAAACCATTTCCTTAAATTTTTCATCTTCTCTTAAATGAATATCCTACTTAAAATGTATTCTTTTCATTATTACAAATAAGAACAAAACCAAGGAGAATGGTTTTGGACTTTGAATTAACAGCTGAACTTCAATATAAATGGCCCGGCCCAGCTTGCTGGTGTGGCAATCCATTCAGAGGTTCACTTGGTTTTTATTCTTTTTAGTATTTTGATTACTAGCCCTGATTTCTAAAGAAACTGGAAAAGTGTAAAATAAAACAGAATAAGCTTTTAGGAGTAAGAAACCAGGCTTCACTGTTTCAATGGCACTAGGCTATCCTTTCCTTCTCTCTCTATCCCAATTTATCACCATTTCCCATGTGCTGTGAGTATTTCTATTAGCGCTTATCACAAGCTGCTGTAGCTGTTTATATGTCTGCTTCTGCTTTTAGGCAGAATTCTTTACGGTCAAAGAATCTATCTCATCATCTCTGTAGGCATAGCATGTTAGTTAGGTGGTACATGGAGCTGGAGATACTGTTTATAAAGGGAATAAAGGGTTGAAATTAATGTACAAGACGAGGGAAAGCTATCCATGTTAGCTAATGGAGACAAAAAAGTTATGTCACTAAATTCAGGAACAATTGTTTAAGTTATCAAGATCATCTAGGAGACAGACAAAACGGAGAAAGCGCACAGGCAGCATTATGAAATTGCTTTTGAATTTTGACCATAAAAAAGAGCATGTTCAAGAGCTTCATGACTATTCCATCAGGTAAATTATCTGTCTCATTTATGCTCTAGGGTAAGGTCCCATCTTATGCTAATTAAATAGCCATGAGAAAAGTTATATTGCTAATGAAGTAAATTCCATAACATTATCAAACAATAATTTTAACAAGTAATGTTATTAATATCATGTGCAAGTAAAATATTGGTGAAGATTATTTAAAAAGAACTGGAACAATTTATCAACAGGGAACTTCCAGAAATTCAAGTTGGATTCAGAAGAGGTTGTAGCATAAGGGATATCACTGCTGATGCTAGTGTGGTTGAAAGCAGAGACTTGTTGACTACTAGATTTCTTTATCATGCAAAGCCAAATTATGGCTAACACTGAGAAGAATGGGGATCCCAGATAATTTTGCTCATACGGAATCTATACCTACACCAAGAAGCAGTTGTCCAAACAAAGCCTTGTGTTCTGTGGTTTAAAATCAGGAAAGGTATGCATTGGAGTTGTATCCTTTCTCCCAAGCACGTAATTTGAGAAGCTGAACTATATAAAGTAGAATGTGGCACCAGGATTGGAGGAAGACTCACCAATAACCTGCATTGTGCAAGATGTCATAATCTTACTTACAAAAAGTAAAGACTTAAGTCTTCTTTAAAGCACTTACTGCAAAAGCTAAAAGCCTACTGCCTTCAGTTTGGTTTACATCTCAACATCAAGTAGATAAAAATCTTCACCACTACCTATAACCAGGAGAGGATAAAATAAATGAATGTGACTTTCTAAGAATAAAATCCCTATGCACATCCAAAAACTTCTCCAACAGGGTAAAAAGGGAAGCCACAGACTGGGAATAAATATTTGGTAATGACATGTCTGATAAGAGACTTATATCTAGAATTTATAAAATACCCGAGCACCACAACAAGATAAAGGAAAACAACCCAATTGAAAAATGGGCACAGGATATGAACAGACACTTCACCAAAGAAGACATTCAGATAGCAAACAAACACATGAAGAAATGTTCAAAATTCCTAGCTCTAAGAGAGATGCAAATCAAAACAACTATGAGATATCATTTCACCCCAGTAAGAAAAGCAAAATTTAACAGAGCAGCAAACAACAAATGCTGGCGAGGTTGTCGAGAAACTGGAAACCTTATTCACTGTTTGTGGGAGTGTAAAATGGTACAGCCACTATGGAAGGCTGTATGGCACTTTCTCATAAAGTTGAAAAGAAAAATACCATTTGACCCAGCAATTGCATTACTGGATATATACCCTAAAGAAACCATAAGTGCCACCCAAGCAGATATATGCACACCCATGTTTAATGCTGCTTTGTTCACAATAGCAAACAGTTGGAAACAACCCAAGTGCCCATCAACAAACAAATGGATAGAGAAGCTGTGGTATATTCACACCATGGAATACTATGTTGCATTGAAAAACAAGGAACTCACAAAATATTATAGAAAATGGATGACCCTGAAGGACATTATGCTGAGTGAAATATCTCAGTTACAAAAGGACAAATACTGCATAGTTTCACTGTGTAAAGCAGGACTGACATCAGAGTTGGGGGGAAACTAAGATGGGATAAAAAATGTATACTGCATTGAAACAGATGAGGGAGAGAACTGTTTAGGAAGAATATATGATTAGGTATTATTGTCATGGCAAGAGTCCAGAATGATCTTTCCACTCCATCTGCAGCCTCCACCAACCTGTTATTGTTACTCTGAAATACTCCTCCTCTTTTCCTGTCAGACCCCAATTCCTTATCTCCGCACAACACCACAAAAGTTTAAAATCCATTATTACTAGCCTACTTTCCAATAAGCTTCTTATTCCCTAGTGTTCACTTGCAATATGTTGATTTCTCTCTGGAGACTAAGGTGCGCCTGATACAGACCATGGTCTTTGCAATCGCTTGTTATGCATCAGAGAGTTGGACAATGACTAGGGAGGACAGAAGGAGAGTTGATGCCTTTGAGCTGTGGTGCTGGAGAAGAGTATTGAATGTACCATGGACGGCCAGGAAAACAAACAGATTCATCTTGGAGAGGATTAAACCAAGCTACTCCTTGGAGGCAAGGATTCTGGGGCTTCGTTTGACATACTTTGGACATGTTGCCAGGAGGGACAGGTCCTTGGAGAGGGACATCATGCTTCGGAGGGTGGAGGGACAGCGCAGGAGGGGAAGACCCTCTATGAGATGGATTGACTCGGTGACTGGGGTAATCAGGATGGGTGTGTCAGAGGCGGTGCGGTTGGCGCAGGATAGAGCAGGGTTTAGGGCTGTTGTGCATAGGGTCGCTATGAGTCGCAAATGACTCGACGGCACATAACAACAACAGTCCCTCATATCAACTTTCACAAACTCACACTGCTCAACTTCTTAACTTCTTGGCCTCCAAGGGCCTTCAAGGCCCAGCTGTCTCCACACAGTCATGTATCAGTTTTAAACTGACCCCACCACTAGAAGTTTAATGGTCATTGAAAGCCTCCAGCCATGTAAAACTGCTGATCAAACCCTCTCTTTTCTCGGCTTTATCAGTTTCCTTAGACACTGGACTCCCAACTTTTCCTTACTAGCAAAACCCCTTTATGATATGGCAAAAGCCATCTCACCAGGATCCCTAGATTCATCCCAGATAGTTAAAAAGCTTTCCTCAAGCTTCAGCATCTCCTCTTACAGTCTCAACCTCTTGCATTGTGAAATCCAGCTAAACCTTTCCATCTATTGCTGATGAAAAACAGGGTATTACTGTTAGTATCTTGGTTCAGCCCACTGGACCCACCTTTACCTCTCTAAACACCTCGATATCACTACCTGGGCATGGCAACCCTGTTTGCGATCCCTAGCAGCAGCTGTTCTCCTCACT